GGAGCATAAGCTGCTGCCACACTGCAGGATTAATCCAGTTTCATACCGGTTTAACTCTCGTAGCTCAATGCTAGGGAATCCTGGGACTTGCAGTTTGTGGTAGCACCAGGGCTCTCTGACAGGGAAGGCTAAAATTCAAAGATACAGCCGTGTTAGTCTGTAGAATCAGTATGTAGAGAGACCTTAAAACACCTTTGAGACTAAAGGAAAGAAAGAAGTTGGCAGCATGAGCTTTCCTAGACTTCAGTCTACTTCCTCAGATGCATTTGGTGGAGTGGAAGCCAGGGACAGACATATAAGTCTCACAGAACTGCACTTCCCAGGATTCCACGGCCTTGAGCCGTGGCAGTTAAAAGCGATGCGAAACCGGGTTGCTTCTGCAGTGCGGACGCAGACTGGGGCAGGAGTTAAAGGGAGCCCCTGGGGCCCCTCCCGGCTTTGCCCCGAGAGAAAGGAGAGAAGGGGAAAGAGAGGCGGTGTGTGGGGTGGGAGTAGGCGACGCATGCGCATTCGCTGCCCCTCGGGGCCCTCACCAGCACGGCCTTGTCCTGCTCCGTGACCCGGCTCCGCCGCTTGCGCCCGAACAGATTCCCCATCGCCCCGGCCCCGCCCCCGCCCGCGCGGCCCGGGCCTACCTCGGACACGCCCCGCCCTCGCCTCCGTACGGCGTCCGCCGAGGCTCTCGCTTGGACAGAAAGCGAAAGCGGGAGGGGAGGGGAGGGGAGGGGAGGAAGAAGGAGCGAAAGGAACTCGTCACGCCGCGTGGAAGGGAGACTTCCGGGGTGACGTCATGCGTCTTGGGCAGAGGCGGAACCTGGGAGAGAGGGACCCAGGACTTAAAGAGGTAGTCCTACCTTTTTCGAAGGTTGCGTCCGCGATGCAGAAATAATCCAGTATGAGACCGCTTTAACTGCCGCAGCTCCATGCTATGGATTCCTGGGATTTGTGGTTCTGTGAGGCATTTATCCTTCCCTGTCAGAAACCTCTGGAGCCACAACATACTACAGTTCCCAGGATTCCCTAGCACTGATCCGTGGAAGCTAAAGCGATGCCAAACCGGATTATTTCTGCAGAGCCGACGCAGGATCAGTGTGCAAGGAGATCTTGGAGCACCTTAGAGAGTTGGTAGCCTATGCTTCCCTAGACTTAACTCCCTCAGATTCATGGAGTGACTCCTTGCATATGATTATAAGTAGACTTAAATCTAGAAAAGCTCAGCCTACCAACTTATTTCTCTTAGTTTGGGAAGAGGGGAGCATAAGCTGCTGCCATACTGCCTAATTAATCCAGTTTCATACCACTTTAACTCCCATGGCTCAATGCTAGGGAATCCTGGGATTTGTAGTTTAGTGGGGCACCAGCCAACAAAGGGCTGTTGTTGAGGGCCGGAGTGGCATAGTGGTTTGAGCGTTGGAATAAGCCACTGGGAGACCAGGGTTCAAATTCTGGCTCAGACATGTAAACCCACTGGGTGACCTTGGGCAAGTCACAGTCTCTCAGCCTCAGAGGACGGCATTGGCAAACCCTCTCTGATGAAACTTGCCAAGAAAGTTAATAGGTTTGCCTTAGGGTCTCGATATGTCAGAAACTTCCTGAAGGCACACAACAGCAATAACGGCACCAGAGCTCTCTGACAGGGAAGCTAAATATCTCACAGAACTACAAATCCCCAAATCCCATAGCATTGAGCCATGACAGTTAAAGTGGTGTCAAACTGCTGGGTTTCTGCAGTGTAGACATACCCAAGACATCATGAAGAAAAGTCTGCCTTTTTGCATAGCTGTGGTAAGGCAGCAGCATATCTACCTGAAGATGAAAAGTAGCTGTACAGAGAATGAGTTCATGCACTTATCTCATTTAGTCAACATTTTAGTTGGAGGAACTGACAGTATTTAAGGGATATTAAAATACAACCTGTCACTGTGGAAGCTAATGGAGCATAAGGCTTCTGTAGGCCATTGGCTGTTCGCTTTATCCGGGGGAGGAACCAGAAGGGGCAATGTAACCCAGGGGCAGGCAGGCAACTTAGAATCAGTTGGAAGAGACCACAAGGGCCATCCAGTCCAACCCTGTTCTGCCATGCAGGAAGTCTCAATCAAAGCATCCCCGACAGATGGCCACCCAGCCTCTGTTTAAAGACCTCCAAAGAAGGAGGCTCCACCACTCTCTGAGGGAGTGTGTTCCACTGTTCAACAGCTCTTACTATCAGAAAGTTCCTCCCAATGTGGAGATGGAATCAAACTTGTGATCTTCCAGCTATTTTCTGGACCAGAACACCCTTCAACTATGCTACACTTTGCGGTGAGGACATCAGGTCACTCTGGGTGCAGGCTAAACTAATAATCAATGCTAATTTTATTAAGCAGGAAAAATCTGTGAAATGATTGCTGAAGTGAAATTGTTGCTCTGTGAGGAATGATCTTACCTCGTCTCTCAGTTCCCCAAAACTAGGCAAAACTGCACCTCATGATATCCAGCAAACTTCATTGTGTAGGAAAGTTGGTGTCCATTGTCCATATCTTTGTAAAGCTTCTTGAAAAGTCTGTTACCCAAAAAACGGGGGGTCCTGGGAAGGCACCCACAAATTAATATATTTTAGACAGAGGAATTTTAATAGCTCAAATAAGAATACACCTTGGCTGGAGCAATGTTCAGCCTGCGATCTTTCCCTTTGTATATTGGGTCCAAATCACACAGAACTCTAGAGGAACTTCCAAATGGGTTTTGTAGTTTATTAGTGAAATAATCAACACACACTCTCGCACACACACAAGAACTAACAAAGCAAAGGTGGGAGAAGGTGAAAAGTGGAGGCCTTGCTAATGGTAATACTGTACCGATCCTGAAGTGTGATTCTAATCAAGAGGTGACAGGAATGGAGATGGCTCAGTAGCCATTGTGGCAAGATGGGTGGCCAGCTTATTGAGAAATCTAGTAGAAGTCAGACAGAGTGTATGCTTCAGACTAGAATAGACCGAATTTCCAGTGTGCAGGCAGTGATATTTATACTCAAAATCATGTCCTGGGGCAGCCACTTCGGGATGAATGGATTACCTCAGTGCTAAACGGTTTTCCCAAGGGAGAAGAATGATCAGGAGATTGAGAAAATGTTCAGACAACTGGCGTGAATATCTCAGACAAAGGAAAGCTTCTACCGATGGAAAGCCCTTTGTCTGGGTTTGCACAACCACCTTCTTCAGTCAGAATCCCATCATTGCCCGCAATCTTTTTTTAAAAAAAGAAACCCAACTATTTTCTTACTTTCTCAATGCTCCTGTCCCTTACTTTTGAAAAGAAATTGATGCTCTTTGTGGCATATTCTTTATGTTTAGTATTGAGATTCTTTGCAGTTTTGAAGGTTTCGTGACCTCAATTAACAATACATTAACAATACATCATAAGTTAACACACAGTGTGGTAGTTGCTTGTCTTCTGGTCTGTACACATGAAGCAATCATCAGATATCCCTTGCTATAATGGCAGCACTTTTTAAGATCACTGGAAGAAGCTCCTTTTTACTTAGAACAGGATGCACCCTCGTCATTATCAGTACTTTTATGTTTCAAATTTAGCCAGTGATCAGTCCTGAGGCTCAGACAGAATGAATTGTTACAAAATTCACTGTGATAACATGGGAAAAAATCACTTTACCTGACAATAATGTTTTTATTCACAGAAATAAAAAAGAAACAACCAATTTCAATAATCCACAATTATCATTTTGAAATCCGTTCAAATACTCACTCACACTGACTGAATCTCTTTTCCCATTAAGGCTTCCTTTTATACATGAATTTTTTTTGAGAAAATTATTTTCTTTTCAAATCTTTTTATTAAATTTTTAAAACAAAAAAATAAAATAAAAATAAAAAAGACTCTCAGTTATGCACATAACATTTAAAAACAATTTACAAACCTAACCTAAACTAAACTAGGAGAGCCAATGTGACATAGTGGTTTGAGTGTTGGACTACGACTAGAGACCAGGGTTCAATTCCCAGCTTGGTCATGAAACCACTGGGTGACCTTGGGCAAGTCACTCTCTCTCAGCCTCAGGTGAAGGCAATAGAAAACCTCTTCTGAACAAATCTTGCCAAGAAAACCCAGGACAGGTTCACCTTAGGGTCACTATATGCTAGAAATGACTTGAAGGCACACAACAACAACAACAAGAAGACTACATTATCCCCCAAGCCCCAACTCATCCCTCTCTCTATAAAGCTATAATAACTTAATAAACAATAAACACAAACCCAATTAACAGAACTAATACAAACTTTAATTTACTTTCCACTTCCCAAACCTAAGAATATTAACAGTACGTATATATATATATATATATATATTTTCTTAGTAATGCTACCTTATTTTTATTTCAATTCTGATCTAAAAAAATAATTTTGCTTCAAGCCTACAATTCCACAACAATAATTTTGCTTCCTTCTTCTACAGAAAAAGCAAAAATAATTCCCAATAATTTTCAAAAATTATCCAACCATTTTTCCTAAATCAGCATTGCTAATTCATCCATCTCAGCCAGCTCACAGTCCATTCTTCGTCTATAGATAGATCTGGACATACACCAAACAATCTTGCTGCTATAATCATACAGTGCATCACTTTATAATTTATACCTTTAAATTTTTCCTTTGATGTACTTTGAGAAAATTCTTGACAGAGCAGCAGAAATCCGGGAAGCAACAGATGTTTGGAGAATGTGGTGGAACAACGTGGGCAACGCTGGAATTCAGTGCAGCTGCAAAGGTGGTGTCTGGCTATATGTGCAGTTGCAAAAAACGTTGCATGCTTTCTCTCAGTCACTCAGCATCATTCGCTTGTATATTCTCACTGCATGCAGAAGTAGCAAGTGCTGAGAACATTTTTGCTACCAAACAGTTATTTTCATATCTGACTTTTACTTTCATTTGTTTTTGATGGAGGCAGTAGATTAGAAAAGTGACATTTTACACAATCAAAGAGAAGATTTCATTCTTCATTTCCTTTTAGTGGCTCCCAAAAGGGAAAAGCCACAATGGCTTTCCACCTTGTCTATTTGGCTCTCTGTTCATCACATAACTCTTGAACTGCTTGACATATCTTAATGAAATTTGGTATAGACAGATGATGTCTATGATCTCTAGAGAAAGCCAGTGTGTGGTCACACTATGGTCAGTGTGTGGTTGTCCATCTGGCTGGCTGTCTTTTGTCCTTGTAAGTGTCATTCAAAATTCACATGACCCAGACCAGCTCTGTAGTATGGAGGAAGAGAAGATATGTCCCTGCCAGGGAGAAGAAGGAACGCAGTTTCTGGGCAGCCATTTTGAGTGGGTGGGTGTTTAATTTTTTTTCAAAACACTTGGGAGAGTGTGTTTGTTGCTGAGGGGGTGGGACTTCTGTGAGGCACATCTGCGATGTCACCAGGGGGTGGAGCTAGCTGCCTAGCTCTATATAACTCCTCTCAGAGGTGTGCACCATTCACAAGAAAAGGGAAAGCATAGCACAGGTAGAAGGGGGCCTGAGAACTTTGATTTAGACATTCTCCTTGAAAATTAAAAATTAAAGGGCTTTTGAGGTTTTCTTGTTCGGAGGAAGAGAGTCAGAGACTTGCCTCCAGAATAAGGTAGCATTCAGGAGCTCTCTACAGAGTTATAAACCCAGTTGATTGACTTCGCTGACAGAGCCTGGTGGAAAGGCCAAGCCAGCAGGGGCCCTTTATGTGGGTGTTTACCAGGGGACTTTTTGAGGGAGGAGCCCACAGTCCTGTTTCAGGGCTTACTTAAGATTACCCAATATGGACACTGAGGGAGCTACTGCAGCCACCTGCAACACTTATGGGATGTTTGTCTTCTTGCCTAGAGATGTGGGGAACTTCACCTGCACCAAGTGAAAGTTGGTAGTCCTTCTGGAAGGGAAAGTCCAGCAGCTGAAGGCCCAGGTAGCATATTAGGGAGCAAGAGGTTTTCCTGGACAGGACAAAATAAACAGTCTTAGACGGGGACCACAAAGAGGAAGATGTTGGGGAGGAGGTCACATCACACCCACAGGAGGTAGACAGCTGGAGGAATGTCATACACAGAACTAGGGAAACCAGGGATCGTTCTGGGAGTTTGCAGCTATAGAATCAATTTGAAGCTCTCTCCCTTATCAAGGATGAAGAGGAAGGGCCTTTGCAGACTGCCATAAATAGTGCACATTAAATTGAGGCACTGCCCTGGCTCAGTGCTAGGGAGTCATGGGAATTGTATTTTTTTCTGAGACATTGAGCCTTCTCTGTAAGAAAGCTCTGGTGCCAGAATAAATTACAGTTCCCATGATTCCCTAGCACTGAGCCAGGGCAGTGCCTCAATTTAATGTGCACTATTTATGGCAGTCTGCAAAGGCCCTTCGAAGAGTGGCAGGGACAGTCCTTGGGGACAGTGAAGGGGACCCTGAGAGCACCACTGCAAGGAACAGCCTCTGCTAAGCCTCAGAGGAGGTGTGTGGTGATGGTGGGGGACTCCTTGTTGAGGGATACAGAAGCAGTGGTTTGTGGGACTGACAAGATGCCCCGGGAGGTGTGTTGTCTCCCTGGGGTAAAAATCTGTGATGTGACAGTGAAGCTGACAAGACTTGTCAAGCCTACTGACCATTACCCCTTCCTCTTGGTCCATGTGGGAACCAATGATACTGCAAGGCATAGCCATCAGAATATCAGAAGGAATTATGAGGCTTTGGATAAGAAGCTGAAAGAGCTGAATGCACAGGATGTTTTCTCATCTTCTCTCCCAGTTGAAGGCTATGGTCCAGGAAGGAAGAGGAAAATAGCATATGTGAATAACCGGCTCCGTAGATAGTGCTGCCAAGAACATTTGGATTCTTGGATCATGGGCTGCAGTTCCATGAGGGGGGACTTCTGGCAAGAGATGGGCTGCATCTCACACCAGTTGGCAGAAGCATTTTTGCCAATAGTAACAAATATTTGATCAGGAGGGCTTTAAATTGAGTCATGTTGGGGAGGGAGACAGTATCTTGAAAGGTATTTTGGAAGGCTGGAGTACATCATGGGCTGGAGATAATAGTCAAAATGTTATAGAGGGAACAAGGCAAATGATGCAAGGGCCTAACAATGGAAGGGAAAAAACTCACACAGGCAGCAAGTGGGGAGTACCCATGCTCTTAGGACATTATCACATGGGGGAAATCTGCTGGTTAATCCACACA